AGCTAGAAAATACCACTGATCAGATCTATTATTCCTCATCTCCACAACTGCTTTAACAATTATGTATTTCTGGTGACACACATCAATTTGAGAACTGCAAAATTTTCCAATGGTATCTTCCCTACTGAGTATTTGGAACTGAGTAAATTGGTACTTAGTATATGTAATTTGTAAAGAAACCTATGGAACTCCATAAAACTGATGCCCCAATTCAAGAACTGTTGGATACTATAAATTAATTCTTAAAAAAAAAAACAACACTGTGTGGAACTCAGTGGGATTTATTCTGAGTACAGATCCACAGAACTGTGATACAAAGACACTATTTGGTACCTACTAATAAACACGTAATTGTCTATACTGAGTATCTGTTCCGTTTAGTTAAACTTATGATACTGGTACCATATTCCAGTATCCATGACACAAGGCTGAAATTAACATCAGCAGTCAAAGCAGGACAAAAAAAACTTTTTGGGTTTTGTTGTCATTATTGTTCTGCTTTGCTCCCATTTGCTCCAGTATAGGATCTACTCATGTGGATTCCACTACCACACTGATGTGTGCTGATCTGTACAGATTTTGTATGTGTGTGTGTGCACGTGCACACATGCACCATTTGATATTTCCTTATAGGTATGTTTAAACTGATCACTTCTTTCCTCACTCTGACTTAGCACTGTTCTTGTTTAATTTTCTTTTAAACATTTTATTGGAAAATAAGAAAAATAAATTAGAAAGCATTGTGGGGAGAAGGTGAAGGTTTGAGGCTAGAAGAGAGTCAAAACAAAGGGAAGAGAGAGTGAAAATACAGGCTAAGTCTTTGCAAGGTCAAAGCATTTACCGAAAACTTTTGATTGACCCTAGCACCTATTCATGCTGACATTTGCTGTTCAGTTTACCTCAAGACCATTGTCCTGCCTCAGGTGAGGCACAAGATGGCACCCTATTGCCCCGCATTTACAAAAGCTTACTGCCAGCTGAATTTACCTTCAGCACTAGCAATGCCACAGCAGATGGTATCAAAGCTTAAGGGATGCATAGACTGTTCCAATATCTTGTTGCTATCTCTGACAATGTTTCTGCCTGTGCAGCAAGCACCTCACTTTACCCATACCTTGAAATATATGTTGTTGTTTTTAAAGGGAACTTGTTGCATAGCCTATCATTTGGAAGCAATAGATTGCTGCTACCACTATGTTGATCCCTTTGAAAAAGTAGGCCATTGTGTGTAATTGGTATATTGCACTGTCATTACCAGCACACCCGAAAACACTCTCCCACTTCCTCCTAGTAGCCAGTTCTTCTTCTCCTCCCAGACCCTGAGGGTTAGATGATGGTAAGGTCATTCTGGCTATGTATGAGACAGTTCTAAACAATAGTATTGTGCTGCATCCAGAACAATATTCCAAGTTCTTCAACCAATATGTTCTACACTTCCTCTTTTTAACTTTCTGAATGTTATGGTTTATTGATCTTTATCCATTTCTCTTAATACTGCTTTGCTGGTCACTCTCTTCATCAAAAAAATTATTAGCAACCTGTAATAAATTCATGGTTCAACTGATGGTTGTTGTGGGTTTTTCGGGCTCTTTGGTCGTGTTCTGAACGGTTCAACTTTTTGTATCCTGAGTTATAGGAGACATATCCAAAGTCCGCGATTCAATGCCAAACAGAATTATACACAGTACAATGTACTTTCTCAAAGCTAGTTTTAGTTTTTCTTTGCACGTGACATTCTTCATCATAAGGAATTTCTTCTGAGCCATCTCTGTTCTGACGTCCATTGCACATCCATGATTGCATTATCTGTTCAACCAAATTCCAGGTTGAATTATATCTTCTAACAATCTTCACACTTTCATTCTGGATCTTTAACTGCATTTCTTGGGCTGCCTGCTTTTTATAATTTTACATCTGATACTACAATTCTTGGAACAGACCTTCAAAATAATTAAATACAAAAAATTGCTAAGAGAACAACATTTCCTTCATAGAATTATAGACTATCTAAGCTGGAAGGGGCCTATAAGACCACTGAGTCCAACCCTCTGCTAAGTGCAGGAATCCAAATCAAAGCAGAACTGACAGATGGTTGTCCAATTTTCTCTTGAATGTCTCCGGGGCTGGAGCGCTCACCACTTCCTGAGATAATTGGTTCCTCTGTCATACTACTCAAACAGTTAAGAAATTCATAACTTGGCACTGATGGTAGTATTGTTTCCAATTTAGTACTGGTAACAGAATAGCATAAAATTCCTGCCAAAATGTCTCTAAAAATGTCCATAAAAGTACATTTTTGTAAGTAATTAGAAACTGTTGCTCAAAGCAGCAAGAAGTTACATCATAATTAATGGTTAAAATGTTTTTGAAATGTAATTTGATTCCGCTTGTTACATTGTTTTAGGTTAGAGGCAACAATGTTACATGCAAAGTAATCGCTTCCACACTCTAGTTCAGCTAATGGTAAGATTGTTCTTACATGCATTAAGTATACCAAGGGTGGACAGCCTTTTTCTCAGAGGCTAGATGTCAGTAGTGAGTGAGGTTCAGCCAGCAAGACTATCTAGGATCAAAAGCCAGTTAAACAAGCTTTACTCTTCTCAACTGCCCTCTCCCTTTCTTTCTTTGCCACTCCCTCCCCCATTTTCTCCTATACCACAGCAGAGCTTGGAAGCAACTAAGCCCAAGTTATCTGTAACTAGGTACAAGTAGTTACAACACTGCTTTCAGGTATAACTAGTATCATATAAGTTATTTCAAAAATCACCTTTTAAGAACACTTTAAGTATCATTTTGACAGGAATTTTCCCTCTCCCTTTCTTTCTTTGCCACTCCCTCCCCCATTTTCTCCTATACCACAGCAGAGCTTGGAAGCAACTAAGCCCAAGTTATCTGTAACTAGGTACAAGTAGTTACAACACTGCTTTCAGGTATAACTAGTATCATATAAGTTATTTCAAAAATCACCTTTTAAGAACACTTTAAGTATCATTTTGACAGGAATTTTAGTTTTTATTGAGGTTCAGCCAGCAAGACTATCTAGGATAAAAAGCCAGTTAAATAAGCTTTACTCTTCTCTACTGCCTTCTCCCTTTCTTTCTTTGCCACTCCCTCCCCCATTTTCTCCTATACCACAGCAGAGCTTGGAAGCAACTAAGCCCAAGTTATCTGTAACTAGGTACAAGTAGTTACAACACTGCTTTCAGGTATAACTAGTATCATATAAGTTATTTCAAAAATCACCTTTTAAGAACACTTTAAGTATCATTTTGACAGGAATTTTAGTTTTTATGCCATTCTCTTATCATTCTTAATTGGCAAAGTATTCTCTAGTTTTCTCTTCTACATGTTTATATGCCCAAAGTGCAATATTAGAACTGACAACTAAAGGGAAGCCAACAGTATTACCCCATATTTTTCCGACCTTTATTTAATGGATACACATGGGGGACTTATGTCTATGGAAATTAATTCCTTACATGTTTTGGGCTTAGAGGTGATACTAGTGACATTATATAATAGCAAACTGACTGAAGAGAAGTAATACAGAAAGTACCATGTAATACAGTATTTAGTATGATGGCTGCCTACCAACTGTACACCACCCACTTTCTTTTCCTAGCTCTGATTGTCACCACCCCTGACATTTAGACCCTAGCACATGATGCGGCTTGCCCCAGAATTTTTTTCTTCCAGTCTCTGAAACCGGAAAAGCAAATCCTGAGTGGGGTGGAAAGCATTATGTTGAACTAACAAAGGGGCTTTGATTCTGGAAGAAATGAGGTACAAGCAGGGAAAGATTAGTGCCCTCGCGTGATTTATCCGTTGCTTTGCTACATCGTTTTAGACTGCAGGTGGAGCCCCTCGCATCACAAATAGCATCATGCCCATACAAACCTAGGATTCATGTCAAAGAGATGTCGGGCATCTCCTTGACTCTGCGTGCAAGGAGTTCTGTTCTGGCTATGAGGAGGAATCCAAAGAGATGGTTTCGATCCCACGTCTACAGTTTAATGGCAACATCAACACTCAAGCGTGAAAGGTAGACCTACACCACAGAGGGAGTGGCGCTATCCTGCGTGTACGTGGCCGTCTTCTATATAAGTGGCTCCTATGGGTTGAGCGTCTAGGATAGCACCTAGACGCCAAAATGGCGGTATTTCCACCCGTTTCGGATGTAGCCACGGATCGGTACTTCTTTAGCGGCACTTTGCTGGTAGGTGGTGGCCACTACAGCAGGATTGGCCGAGGCTTTTTCCCCCCTCCCGATTTCATGTCGAATCTCACAAGAATGTCTAGCTACACATCCTGCTTTTCCTTCTCCCACTTGACCTGAAGCCGTTTGGTTCCCGTTTCTTATCCCTGCGCTTACAGGGGCATAAAATAATAACTGAAGGTATAATCCGGGAAATAATACCTCGCATAGCTCAGTCCCGCTAACTGTATTGCTAGTAGGGACGCTCAAGTTAGTGCCTTAAGAGAACTTGACAAAACAGTCAAGCCAGGCTTCAGCAGCACAGAATTTGGGCAAAGTATTTTGTGTATCTCAAAGGAATCTCTGCAAGCCAGTGCCTTAGGGGTAACCTCCACTGAGAATAGCAGGGCTAAGTACTGTACAGTACTATATATCCAGAACAGGACTGATTTTAAAACGCACAAACGTGTGTGCTTTCCGGTGTAACTGAGCAGAAGGCTTTCAGACTTCCTGCACATACATCCTTTTAGTGTCTTTTCCCCTCCACCAGCAAGGAACGTCAGCCTCGCCCCCTCCCCGCTACAAACACTCTCAGCTCTGCACGCCGCTTGCTGCGTCAGAACTACAGGCCCCTTCGATTTAGGAGCCTGGCCGGAATCCCTTCCCGAACGTCTCATTGGCTGCTCGCACGACGACGTCCTCCAATCGCGGCGCCCCGAGCGAGCCGGCGGAGGAAGTTGTTTTTGTGGTTGCTATGGGAACGGGCCTCGGGTTGGCCTTCATCTCGTCGCTCCCTTTGCTAGTCGATAAGCTCCTCCCTCCCCGCGGTGGCTGCCTTGAGGGGGTGGGTGGGCGGACTTCGTGTTGTTGCCGGAAGTTAAGATGGCGACCTTTGCCGCCCAAACGGACCTGGTCACGGGCTGGTGCCTTTTCGGCCTGGCGTTGCTGGTAAGAAGACCTCTGGGGAAGGAGAGGGCAGGACGGGCAGCTGCTTTGCTTCTTCTTCCCTTCCTAGGCTGGGTTTCCTCAACAGTTTCCGTAGCTCTTCTCCTCATTCTGTACGAAGCCGGCCGGTGGCTCTGCTTCCCCCACCTCCAAAATCTGTGGCGAGAGGAGGACCCAGAAGGGCTCCTTTCGGTTTAGGGAAGGGGGTGTGTGAGAAAGGGAATTTATCAGGGCGCAGGTCTCGGGGTGTGTGTGTGTCGTGTCCTCCGCTGCCTGTACACGCGGGGTAGATGGAAAGGAGCGTTAACTAGGTTCCTCTGAGCATTTCTCGGGGAATTAAGTTCGCTGCTTTCCCTTCGCCTTTATATTCTTCGTCGAAAAGAACGCGTGCGTGTCCTTGTTGGATTTCCCCCCCTCCCCCAGTCATGGCCTTAAAATTGACGGTGGATGAATGTTGACGTCGTTTATAGATCATTTCGATAGCCTGGGATTCACAACAGGGCGGGAGGGGCTGTTGGGGTTGCTGATTGGTTGACCTAAAGTATTGTCGGGAAAAGAGAACTTGTGACTCCAGGAAATAAAGTGTTGCATTATAAATTGATTTTAGTCCCCTGTTATCACGTGGTCGTTTCCGATATGAAGGGAGGGAGTTTTGGTTTTATGGTGGAAATACTATATATGATCTCTCTGCTTATACTGTTTTGAAGGGGTGTGCTCTAGAATACTACCGTTTGAGTCTTACTAAGACTAGGAAGTCTAGGCTGTCCTTGTCATAGTTTCGAAGCTCAATGTACTTGTCAGTGTCAGGCATTTAAATGGAAGAGAAGTGTCAGGCATTTAAATGGAAGAGATACTGTTTTGAAGGGGTGTGCTCTAGAATACTACCGTTTGAGTCTTACTAAGACTAGGAAGTCTAGGCTGTCCTTGTCATAGTTTCGAAGATCAATGTACTTGTTAGTGTCAGGCATTTAAATGGAAGAGAAGTATCTTGAAGTATAAGGGTTGACTAGATAGGTGGGATATAAATTAAATAAATAAATAAATAAGTGTCTTGAAGTATAAAGTGTATTTGAATCCAGGTAAGATGGAGAACCTGTTGTTGGGAACGCCAGCTGACTGGTTAGAGCAGAGGTTCTCAATCTTTTGAGTTGCGATCCCCTTTTATAATAGACAAGTAATCAACAACCCACCAACACCATGTTTACATAGAAGGGCATTTTAATGAGGTAAACTAGTTTCTTTTCAGAAAGAAGTTTTTTTCTTTCTGAAAAAAAACCTTCTCCCCCAAAGGACCTGATTCTCACACATACAAAATAATTTTAATGTCCTGCTCTGAAAGTTCAAGGAATAAATTATTTAATAAGAGCTAAAACACATATAAGGTGACCCAAGACTTCCCAGAAACTATTTTGTGACCCCCCCAGGTTGGAAAACACTGGATTAGAGAGAGATCTGCCTGCTTTGGATAGGGTTACAGTCCAACAGAAAGATGGGGTTCGCAACTTGGTGGTGCTCCTGGAACTGGTTCTCTCTCTCTGGAAGCTCAAACACCAGCCATGGGCAGGAGCACCTTTTTTAAAACTTCAGTTGATTGCCCATTTGCATCCCTACCTATACAGGAAATGCCAAATGACATTGGTTCATGAGTTAATAATCTCAGAAACAGACTTCTGCAACACTCTACATAGGATTGCCCTTGAAAACACTATGGAAATTCCTGTAGGTCCAAAATGCGAGAGACAGACTAATTTTGGGAAATAATAAATTCAGTTGCATATCTCCAGTCTTAGATTGTCCACAGTGACTCCTTGTTAGTTTTCACACTGAATTCAAGGTGCTGATTCTGACCTATAAAGCTTTTAAGGTTTAGAAACTCAATACTTTTTAGAATATCTCCCCTGGAGAACAACTGTTTTACATGCTTCTCCAGAACCAGAGTGTTAAGGGTGGCCACACTGAAAGAGGCCAAAAAGATGCGTGCCATGCTCCATCCTTCCAGACTTTTAGGACACTGCTAAAGACAGAACTTTATAAAGTGACATTCAAGAACATATCCCCTGCAGCTGTGGACTTATAGTTTTAGAGTTAATTTTTAATGAGTTGGTCATTGCCGTATTGTTTGGGTTTGTATATGAGTGGTGTTTGGGAGGTGGCTGGGTGGGAGTTTGCTAGTCTATTTTGTAAACTACCCAAAGTAGTGAGTGTCACTAAGTGGGCAGTATACAAGTTAAATAAACAAACACATATTTGATTTGTCAGAAAATCTAAACTGTTATACTCTGGATCTGTCTCTCCAGTTGTAGCACAGTCATTTCCATTTTGCCAGTTAGTGTAGCCTGTATTACATTTGAAATTGCACTTAGTGCTCACACGGGGGCTGTGGATTAATTTGCGGGGGGGGGGTTACTGTGGTGCTGCGGGTTAAACCGTAGAAGCCTCTGTGCTGCAAGGTCAGAAGACCAGCAATCAAAAGATCGAATCCACGTGATAGAGTAAGTGCCCGTCACTTGTCCCAGCTCCTGCTAACCTAGCAGTTCAAAAGCATGTAAATGCAAGTAGATAAATAGGTACCACCACTGTGGGATGGTAACAGCGTTCTGTGTCTAGTCACGCTGGCCATGTGACCACAGAAACTGTCTACGTCAAACGCTGGCTCTACGGCTTAGAGACAGGATTGAGCACCGCCCCCTAGAGTTGGACATGACTGGACTAAATGTCAAGGGGAACCTTTATCTTACTGTTCATATTGGATGTAATTTGCATTCTAGCCCACAGCCACCCTCTTTTCCTGCCTCTGCCAATCCACTTATGGAGCATAAATATAAGAAATAATGACAACAATAAGGTGATAGGATGATCTAGTGCCAATTTGAATCATGTGACCAGTAATCATGTGACAAGGCCAATTTGAATCGTGTGACTAGTAAAAATACTGTACTTTGAATTCATCTTTTTTATAAGTGAAGCAAATCCCATGGTATTTGACCCTGTAGTTGTAGCCTTAGTTATTCTAAAGGGCTGGAAGCCTTTCCGCTTCCAGCATACTCTGCAAATGTTTACTCTGTGTGTGTGTTTTGTGAAATGAGAAGGTATTGGTAGCTAGCTGGATAACTCAGCCAGTTAGCTATCTGACTGTAGAGCTAGAGGTTGGGAGTTCAGTTCCCTGCTGTGTATTCCAGAGGGGCCAGTCTGTGTCGCCTTGGGCAAACTGCACCATCCCAGGATGATCACAGAAGAAGGGAACTGTAAGCCACTTCTGAGTATTAACTACCTGGAAAACCCTGAAAAGGGTAACCATAAGTCAGAATTGGCTTGATAGCACAAGTTATTGATAGTACATTGCCTGTAATTGGCTCTTTGGTGTAGCCAGTGTCCACATATGTGTCATTGTGTTTGCCGAATATGCATGCATAGACTCCTGAGAAAATGTGAAGTATAGTAGTACCTCGCTTTACGAATTTAATGTATTCTCCGGAACGTTATGTAATGCAAAAAATTCATAAACCGAAATGAGGTTTGCAATAGGAACGGGGGCGGCACTATAAACCTCCAGGCACAGTGCATCCTGGGGAAACTTCTTTTGTACTGTGGAAAAAAAACTGTAATTATTTTCAATGGATTTCCATTCATAAATCAAAAATTACATTAACTGAAGCATTCATAAACTAAGGTACTACTGTAGTGACCAAGGTTCTGTTCTATAACTTGGACTGGTATAGGGAAAATAATGTCACTGCAGAGCAAGATTGCTGCTCATTAGAGTTCCTACTGTAGTTCCTGGTTACATGCAAGTGGTTTGCACTGAATCCAGGTGGGGCTCTTAATCAACAGCCCCTGCTTGAATTAATAAAGAAGTCCCAACTTGGATTCTGGATCTTGTGTGAAACCACCTGACTTTGTGCACACAGGGGACTAATGAGCACTGACGTGACTCTTTGGTGATGCCATTTCCCCTGCACCAGTGTAGGTTATGCAATAAGATTTTGACCAGTGTGTGAGAGAGAAATTATCATGTGGGAAGGGCTGGCTGTAATAATCCTAAACCTCCTACCCCCACAACTATGGTAATATCCGCATAAGGACTGCTACATGTACAGTAAAGGAGAGAGTGATCTGTATTGTGTATTTAGTGTGTACTTCATTATAAACTATGAACTGTGCAGTTTCCTTGAATATAATTGCCACTAAACTGCACATAATTTATTGCAAGACTTTTTGTCTAATAGCATTTTCTTGCATATTAGTCTTGCAAGACATGGACGTTACATTCTTGAATATTTTTTTTTACTAACGGCACTCAAAAATGGATAACTGGTCTATCTATAGAGACCTGCATGTTAATTGCTGAAGAAATATTTGAACCCAGTTCTAAACTGGCATCTTGCTTACTGTAGCAAAGTAATTCTGAAATGTTAGCCAAATGTCCTGCCTTGATTATCACAGGATATCTGCTGCATATCTGAAATGATAATTCTCTGGACGAGGGTCAGATTTTCATTCCCTTTTTTCCCAAGTAATAATTGCATAGTTTTAAATCTGTTGTTTGGTCTGTTGTGTGAAAAGAGCAGAGGGCCTATTATAATAAGATTGTGTGGTCAAAAAGGTGGAATTCTGCATAGCTATACAGAGTAAATGTGGGAGCTTGTCTGATGTAGTGGATAAAAGATTAGACTGGGACAAAGGAGTCTTGGCCTCATTGCTCACTAATCCATGAAGCTTATTAAGTAGCATTGGCTAGGTGGTAGCTTATATTCTGCTTATATCACAGAATTGTTAATAAGGGAACCTCGTAAGAGTAATCCTGAAATCATGATGAAGCTGCTGTTTGTAGCATTTTGCAGTGGGATTATCCATTCAGGGTAATTTAAACAGTTTATTTTATTATAATAGTCATTTGAAATAGTAACATTATAGCATACATTAAAAAGTCCAAAGGTATTTGTTACTAATGCCAAAACCTGATCAAACTCAAAAGTCGAATAAGAGATAAATCTGCTTAATTTAGAGTTTTATCGGTATTTTAGAGGTTGAATCTGCCTTCACAGACTATGTAATTTTCTAACCCAGTGCTGTGAACTATAATGCATGCTATTGGAGACATAACTGTGATCAAGTGAATGAAAAGTTCTCAGTATGAACACAATTAACAGCCACTATGAATTGTTTTGTACTTAGAAATCAATCTATGCCACAAGGATCTCTTTCCTCTGTGTTGCATTAATGTTTCTGTTTTTATTTTAGGTTATCCTGGCTTTTTGCTGGGTTTATGTCCGCAAGTACCAGAGCAGACGAGAAAGTGAAGTAATTTCCACCATAACATCTATTTTTGCTCTAGCAATTGCACTTATTACATCAGCACTCTTACCAGTGGACATTTTTCTAGTTTCATATGTTAAGAACCAAAATGGAACCTTTAAGGTAAGTATTAACTTATTTATTGTGCTTTGGGAAATGCCTAAGCTAACTTCTTGACTTGGAATTTCAACAAGATACACTAAAACAAAAGAAAAGAAAAAAAAGATGTTATGGCGCCTTAAAGACTACTGTATTTTTCCATGTATAAAACAACACTTTTTCCTTAAATAGACAAAAAAATTGAGGGTTGTTTTATACACGGAAGGCTGCCACTTTTCCCTGCCTTTGTAAAGCAATGTGGCTTAGAAAGGCTGCCACTTTTCCCTGCCTTTGTAAAACAATGTGGCTTAGCAAAAGGGAAGGGAAGGCTCCCTTTGGGTAAGGTAGCCATGAAAGGGCTGAACGATCGCAGATCACAGCCTTTTGATCCTGAAGCCCTTTCATATTCAGGATCAAAGGACTGTGATTGTGCAGCCCTTTCATGGCTGCATTACTGACTTCATAAGCCCTGTGGGCCCTTTGATCCTGAAGCCCTTTCATGGTTGCCTTATCCATTTCCTATGCAGCCGTGAAAGGGCTGCACGATCACAGCCCTTTGATCCTGAAGCCCTTCATGACCAGTTCTGGTAATATATGTGAAAATAGCTCACATTTAAAATATTGGAAGAATGTATTATATTAGTGATGTTTTAAAGAAGCTACAACTTGGTGTCCTGCCAGCCAAACCTGGCACAACTCTCATCATCTCTTGTA